TCGGCTGCTTTTTAAGTTGGTTGGACATCGCTCCAACAACTTAGAAATTAAAGTTAAACAAGCATTTTTGTACAGTTGTAACAAAATGTTTAAATGAAAACTAAAAATAAAACTTAAAATAAGTTAACTGGCGCCCAACGTGGAGGGACCATCAGGGAAACCCCTGATAAAATAAGTTAACCGGCGCCCAATGAGTTGGAGAACCACACATACATCCTGAAGGAGCCTGCAGTGGAATTATCCTCCTAGTTTTGAAATGTTAGAAAAATTTGATTTTTTTTTGTTTTTGTTTTAAACAGTTTAGAATGGGAACTTTTTCCCTTTTTTTAATTTTTATTATATTATTTTTTTTGTTCAACTAGGAATACGCCTTTAAATACACTTTTGTGTGAAATGAACAACTTATTAAATTTTTCGTTATTGATAATAGATAATATTATTTTTTTGTTTAGGAAACAGTATATAGGAATAAAAAAATTTTTTCCTCCTCTTTATTTTTTTGAATTTTTTGTGACAACTGAGCTTTATCTCATTTTTAATTTTTACTAAATTATTTTTTTGCGTTCAACTAGGGATACGCCTTTAAATACACTTTTTTGTGGAATGAACAACTGATTCAAATTTTTCGTTTTTGCTAAAATATAATATTTTTTGTTTAGGAAATGGTATATAGGAATGGGAACTTTTTCCTCTCTTTTTTTTTAATTTTTCACTTATTTAGTTAATTGAATTTGATTATTAGAAGTCAAAACTATAATTCTTAAAACTAACTTCTTACGAACGTGCATTACTGGAAGAAGTATCCCGTTTAATCCTTTTCGTCATTACTAAGGTTTCCCCGATGGCCACTTTCTCGCACGCTTCTCTTCCTCAAGAGTGGGTAAGAGATTGGATAGACGATTAATTCGGCTAGGAGGATAATTCCACTGCAGGCTCCTTCAGGATGTATGTGTGGTTCTCCAACTCATTGGGCGCCGGTTAACTTATTTTATCAGGGGTTTCCCTGATGGTCCCTCCACGTTGGGCGCCAGTTAACTTATTTTAAGTTTTATTTTTAGTTTTCATTTAAACATTTTGTTACAACTGTACAAAAATGCTTGTTTAACTTTAATTTCTAAGTTGTTGGAGCGATGTCCAACCAACTTAAAAAGCAGCCGAATTAAAAGTGAAACTAAAATCTAAGTTTATGCGATCACCAACTTAATATTCTAAGCGCCGGCAGAGCGAGACGTCGGCAGCGACGCATATTGTTAGTGGCGTGCTAGTAGCGCCATTAAAGTCCGTAATATTAGTTTGGCGCTCTTTTAGTGGGTAGCGGTAAAGTGGCGTGATGCGTTTGCATCACTTTTATTAACTTTTGCATTTATTTTGTTAACTTACACAAGTATCTTAATAGGGGGATTTTCCCATGATCATTGTTTGCGCAACGAATCCTCGATAAATGGAATGTGAAAAGTCCCGCAGTTGAAGCAAACACATTTAAAGGATTACTATTTTCGGTATTTCCATTTCTGTAAAAAATATTGTACGGAAACAGAGAAAACCGCCATTTAATGTAATTCATGCAACTAATTTTTATATAATATTATAAATATAAATGCCCATATCACATTTTATTCATTGATTTCAATTCATAATTCATCATAACTTATAAACTATATAAAAAATAAACAGTGTTTATTCAAAAATAAGGCACTAATTAAAAACTGAGGCTTTGTCAAATTAATCACATTTTGGATATAAATTAAAAATATTTCTTAAAACTATGTTCAACTTCAAAAATCAGTCTTTAAATTAATCACATTTTGGATATAAATTAAAAATATTTGTTAGAATCATATAAAAATATCTATATCCTTGGTATTTCAAAAAAAGCCAGCCTTAAAATTTTATGCCAGTCACATTTCATTCTTCTTCATTATATATATTAAGCGGTCGTGAAAAAATTTATAATTATTATTACTTATGTAATTTGATAAATTATATAAATGTGCATTACTTACAAACATCAAAATCTTCATCTTCAAAAATCCCACTCATTGCATTCTGAAGTAAGTCGTTCTGAGGGGATTTTAGCGAATCACGATGTCTATTTGAATTTTGTACCAACCGGCGCATAAGTCATTGGACCTCCCATTCTCTCATGTGAGGAACTATCTCCTCCATTTTCG